TGCACACACTTTGGACCCTTTGGGTATCCAAGTGCATTGGATTTCTTCAACAGCAGAGAAGATTTTTCTGAGAATGAACATGACAAACACGTGGCTGTGGTCGTCAAAGTCATGCGTGATTCTTGCAGTTGCTGAGAAAGTTTCCTTTGGCTGTCGAATTTCTGCCCGACCCTCGTTGTCGAAACTCAACATCCAAGAGACTGTTGGAACGAGACATGTATTGGGCAAGAGCAATATGTTGACTTTTTGTTGGACCAGAAGAAACATTACAGTACATGTTGTTTGTTTTCCTGCATGCAGAGGTTCAGCATTTCAAGGTCGGAAGCCGAAGTGGTTTCCATGGAGCACGAGGACACAAATAAGATTGGCGAGTGCTGGCGTTGGAACACGCTCTTCAACTTCATCTGTCCTTGGCCTGGCAACAAATAAAGCGTGGACATCCACCAGCGTCCCCATTGTCTTTCCTACAACCAGAGAGCTATAGGCCCTCCTACGCGAGTGAGGTCGCGTTTTAGGCTTAGGACGTGGTCTCCAAACCGGTTTCAGGGCTCAGGCTAAAAGATTTCAATTGTGGTTTGTTTATTCAGGCTTAAGGTTTTACGGTCTGATGTAGAGTGCACAGGGTTCGTTGAGGTTTTGGGGAAGCTGTTTGCAGAGGGTCCCCTGGGTTCAGGCTGTGGGTTTAGATGACTTGATCATGCAGAGCCTGTAGTTTCCTGTGCTCCAGCGACAAGTCCCCTAACCCTAAACCATTGGAGGATCGGGCAGGCCCAACGCCTTCAAAAAAGAAAACTGTAAGCCGGCCCTACACCCTAAACCTTAAAAGGTTTTGTTTACAGCTCCGTGGATTACAGGTTTGTCGGCGGCTTCATTAGTGTAGATTATGCACGTGTAAACTGTTGTCCCCTTGTGCATTCCTATGGATGACCGATGCTGTTAGTGCTCTAGTAGACAAAAAGAGCTTGCCGTGTGCCATGGTACAATAGGTCTACTAAGTCTACTACCACTTAACGGATATTACATCAGTGCGTGTGATCGAGTGGTTTTACCCAACTATAATTAGCAAATCCTGAGCTAAGCCCTAAGTTTCGGGTTTATAAGTAGGGCTTAGGGTTTCTATTAGGTTTAGGGCCCTAAACCGAACCCTAAGCCCTGAACAAGAACCGTGACGACTGAGCTTCTGGAGCCTTCGCGTGAGGTTTAGGAGTCTAAGGAACCGAAGCACAGCTGCGCAGGGGCCTTCCGGACAGCAACAGTGGAAGGATTAGCATCTCCGCCTGACAATGTTTCAGTTTTAGGTGTATAAGGGCGGAGCAAGATTTCGGGCATTAAGTGCTGGGACGTGCCCTGCTGTAGGAACTGGGGTTACGGGCTCAGGTTGCAGGGGTCGCCCAGTTTTTGCTTTACGTCTACTCATGCATGCATGCATGCATGCATGCATGTTGGCATGTTTGTATGCTTGTATATGTATTTGTGTCTGCAAGTACGTAGGTATCCGTGTATGCGTGTACACGTGTATTGTGTGGGTGCATTGTAGGTGTATGTGAGTACTTGTTGTATATGTATGTTCGTTTATAATTATCAAGTACAAATGTGAATTTATTAATTATGTACACATGCATAGTAACATTTCTGCATCTATTTATTTACTCGTCTACCTGTCCATCTATTCGTCATTATTCATCTATCTGTCTACCTATTTGTCCACCTGTCTGTCTGTCTGTCTGTCTATCGATTTATCTATCTGTCTATCCATGTACCTATCTATCCATCTGTCTATCTGTCCATCCTATCTTATTTATCTATCTACCTACCGACCTACCTATCTATCTATCTATCGATCTATCTATCTATCTATCTATCTATCTATCTATCGATCTCTTTCTCTCTCTCTATAAACTCATCAAAACAAAATACAACTTAAAAACTTTCGTCGTAGTAGTAGACGTAGAAGTAGAAGTAGAAATAGAAGTAGAAGAGTAGAAGTTGAAGTTGAAGTTGAAGTTGAAGTTGGGTACAAGTAGAAGTAGTAGTAGTAGTAGTTGTTGTGGTTGTGGTTGTTGTTGATGTTGCTGTAAGAATATATTTGGCAAGGATATACGATATGTAACATGTATATATATATACACACATATATACATATATAGATACATATCTATACATTGGTATATATATGTATATACACATACACATATGAACATTTCTCAGTTGTTATCTATATGTGTGTGTATGTTTCTCGCTTGTGTGTGTCAATGCGGGTTGAGTGACTATTTGTTCGTGTTGGCAAGTTGGCAAGGGACCCTCGTTGCGGTATTTTTGGAGTCGGGTTCGCCAACATACCATTCTTCGCGGAGATTGGACTTCTCCTCTACAAACTTGGGGCTGAGGGAGTAGATTCTCTGGTCAGTTTAAACTTGCGGTCGCCGCCTCAGCCTGAGGACAGTACTATGCCTTTCAGACGGATCGGCTGGGCACTGGGTCCTTCGGCACGGTTTGCAAGGCCGTGCGCAAGTCCACAGGCCGGAAGTTAATGCCCAAAGCTCGGCAGTTGAGCAAGGCACCCGTAGGCCCCATAATAGTTCCTTTGTGGGGTTACCTTATAGAATTCTATATATGAATCCAAAAAAGGAACTACTATGGGGCCTATGGGTACCTTGAACAACCGTTAACAGTGATTATTGCGAACAGCATGATTAATGCGTATCCTTTCCGTTGAGACGGGGTTTTCGGGATCGGGTATATAAGCTTTCGAGTTTGCAGGTTTCGGAATTTGCTGTTTGAGGTTGAGGGTCTTATGGTTTCATCCCGAAGCCCTAAACCCTAAACCCCCTTTGTTAAGCGTATGTTTCCTGCTTCTGTGGTCTGCTTTAAGGCCCACGGGCCCGACTCGGCAGCCAACCTTTCATCCATCCATCTATCTGTCTATCTATCTATGTATTTATCTATCTGATCCATCTATCTATCTATCTATCCATCTATCTGATCTGTCTATCTATCTAAACTATAGAGTATACTGTATACCCGTTTTATGACCTAAGGTCAATTCCCTTCAGCCGCAACCGTAGTCCGAAACTCATGCATGTTTGCCGTGACTCCTTTGCCGCGATGCGCCAGGCGTCCAGTATGCGATCAAGATGCTTCTTGCTGGCAGTGGGTCTAAAACTCAATCTCTACCTCACCTTAAAGCAGACTACCCGAAAATACAAACCAGCCGTCAAGCCTCAAAACCTATGCATAAGAGAGCCCCGGACTATATTGTGTGCATGCCGACGGCTTTGGATTCTGCACTTTAATTTTATGCAGCCCTTGGTGTCGTTTCTCTTTTGTTGGTGCGGGGAGTGGGGGACAAGGGGCGAGGGGCAGGATCTACGCCTGCGCACCTTCGTGAGCTGACCGCAGTAAGGACCCCGGAAAAGCAAAAAGCATGGCAACACGCCGGCTTTCTTGTCTAACACGTTAGCATTCGAGGTTTGGAGTTTGTGGCTTTATCGTTTAGCCCACGAAGTTCGGTTTCGAGGAGCTGGTGCTGAAGCCTTTAAGGGCGTGATAGACCCTGATTGCGGAACCGTCAGGCTTCATGGCTGCTTTTGTTGTTTTAGCTATGCGCACGGTTTAGGATTTGGGTTTACCTTAAGAACCCAAAACCTACATTTTTGTAGGGTCCCTATAAATCCCATATTAGGGTTTATAATAAGAACCTACAAAAAAGTAGGTTTTGGGTTCTTATAAGGTAGGGTCTAGGACTAATGGTGCCCGACTGAACCTAAGTTCTACAAACCATGCCCTGCACAGGCCTAAACTGCACAGTGCACCACACCCGCGCTGCCCTTAACCCTACTGGTGCCTTGCCAAGGATCTTTCGCAACCAGTGGCCGGACATTGACGTCCTCAACCGGGAAATCCGCATCATGAAGGCAACGTAAGGGCCTTGCTAACAGGAACCGGGATTCGGGGTATATTATTATTTTAGGCCGAAAGCGCAGTACTGGTAATTATTCAGGCTTTTGCATTACACGCAGAAACTTGAAACCCGACGTATCCCTTTACAGAATGATACTGTGAGGGGCGTCACTATTTGACAAGCATCTCTTTCCCATAGCACCGGTCACACCAAACCATGGACAAACCTATGACGCCTTGAATCAAATAGCGGGAACGTGTTCGAAGCAGTAGCGTGTTGGAGCCACAGTTAGTCACGGGGGATTTTGGCATCTTCGGTTCCAGGACACCCGAAGATTGTATACTGAATTAACTGACTAGGAGCTGTTGGATGTTGGGCTTAAGGTTTTGTAGCTTATCTCTTTGCAAGGTTCACCACGTTACGAGTTTCACGGTTCTGGGAATTCGAATTGGCGGCTTAGGGCGTTCTTTCACTATAACCCCTAAGCCCAAGCCCCTAAACTCTAAACCCTAAACCCTATGCCCTAAACCCCAAGCCCTAGCGGCTTCGTGCCAGTCTTTGGATCACCCGAACATCCTCAAGCTCATCGATGTCTTCGAAGACCAGCGGTTCATATATCTCGTCATGGAGCTGCGCCTTAGCTTCATGTAGTGAGGGTAACAGAAGCGTATGCAATGGTTCTGTCTTTCCGCGAGAGGGTTTGCGGCCGGTCATGTGTAGGTAATGGGAGGTCGCAACAAAGCATTCACTTTGCCTATTCCATTCTGAACCCTAAACCCTAAACCCTAAACCCTAAACCCTAAACCCTAAACCGGAATCTTGGACCCATATGGGGTGTACCGCATGTTTGGGGAGAAACTCCCCGCAAGTCTTGCACCTCCGAGCCCCAGTGCAGTGGAATATATTATTGGATTGAAGCTCTTACCTAAAACCCCCCCCAAAGCAGGCAAAATAATGGCCCAATACCTTATAAAAAGCTATTATTCTGCATACTGGGGGCTCATGGTTCTGGATGTGAGGCATGTAGGCCAAAAGTGTGCAGAAACCCTACCCCGCAAAAGCCCTGGGTGCCTACACCGTAAAACCCTAAACTCTTACGAAACCCTACAACTTTTGCTTAACACCCTGTTGGGTTTAGGGTGTTATACGCTTTAGGGCTAGACAGTTTCAGCACCTGAACCCTAAACCCTAAACCCTAAACCCCTAAACCCTAAACCCCCTAAACCCTAAACCCCTAAACCCTAAAACATGAGAGCACAGCCCCCAAGCCTGCGCCGCACTCGCTCCCCAGGTGTTCGGGAGGCCGCCGTTGTCGGAGTTTGCTGTTTCAGGGCTCAGAGGCTAATATGGGGCCCTTAACTACCTATACTATTTTGGGGGGTTCCTTATTGTAACTATAATGTAATATACCCCCAAAAACCCTATTCTAATTATTAAGGCACCCACAGTCCTTTTTTGTCAGAGCTGGAGGTTTAGAAGCTTAAGGTTATGTGTCGCAGAGGGTTTCAAGACTTCAGGGGCTCTGGATCTAGGGGTTTCGGGTTGTTTTTAGCTTCCCCGTGTGTTCGTGTGACACTTTGGTATTTTTGGGGCTCTCCAGGCTTGGCCTTCGTGGGAAGGCGGGACTGAGCCAGGCTGTTAGCAAGTATGGTCGCCTCTAGACCCTAAACCCGACCCTAAACCCCCTAAACCCCTTAAACCCCTTAAACCCCCTAAACCCTAAACCCTAAACCCAGACTGTGATGCCAGGTTGGTTTGGCATACTGCGCTTTGCGAGCAGCTCTCACTGGACTACGAGAGGCCGATGAGAGGTTGCAGGTAAGGGGGTTCAGAATTTGGGGTTTAGGGATTACGGTTCAGGGTTTGGGGTTTAGGGATTAGGTTCAGGGTTTTGGGGTTTAGGGTTTACGGTTCAGGGTTTAGGGGTTTAGGGCTCATGAAGGCGGGGGTCCTGTAGGGACTTGTCTAATTAGGACGGCAACGCCTGGAAAGCTTCTTTTGGGTTTAGGGGTTTAGGGTTTAGGGTTTAGGGTAATTGTTAAGGCCACCATCCTTACGTGATAATCTGTTCTCATGTTTGAAAGATAATTACGATCGGCCTTCAAGGAGTTTAGTAGCTTCGTGAAGTAAATGCAGGAGCAGCATCAGCAATAGCAGCTGCGAGTAACCGTCGCATCGATGGCATCAACACCACGCAGCAGTCGTCGTGACGTGGTGAAATCTGAAGCAGAGTCGTAGCAGTAACTAGCTGCTAGCTGTGGTAGTTTCACTCGTCGTGGTCGTCGTCGTCTTGAGTTGGATTGGTGGCAGCAGTAGTCGTCGTCTTAGCAAAGGCGAAATCCGTCACAAGGAAAATTACCATGCATAGCATCACTCTCAGAAAGTCGTTTCGAAGAGCACACAACTTCTGCACAGGAAGGGTGCAGGCAGTGCAGGCTTGCCTACTTGTCGTGAGGTGGCCATAGCAATACTATCCAGGCACCAGTCAAAGTTCCCCTCGTTTCCGCGAAACAGTGTTGAGCTTCGACCAGGCAGTCAAGACGTTTCAGACATTCATTCAAATGTTATAGGGTTTAGGGATTTAGAGTTTAGGCTGTAGGGTCCAGGGTGTTCATCTCCATGTCAGGTCACGTGCTTGGATCCTCCTGGATATGTGCAAGGCAAACGTGAGTGACTGGCGGACAACCCTGCGCAAGGTGTAGAAACTGTGCTTCGCTGCACTGCTGAAGTTGCGCGCAAGTCGGGCAGACAAATGCTCTCTAGCTAAGTATATCTGAGCATGTGCAGGAGTTGCAGTGCGGCTGTCGCCACTTCCGGATTTTGCACCCTTGTGCCTGTTCCACCGCAGGCTCTTAGCTGGCTTAAGCACTTGGCTTGCCAGTGTTTGCTTCCTGACAGCATGTCGATCTTCAGCAGATGTGGCTTGGCCATTTGGGCGCTACTTCTGTCGCTTGGTTCGATCTCCTACAGCAATGTTTGTAGTTCTCAACCCTCTAACTCTTAACCTTTGCAGAGGTGCTGTAAAGGGATACTATTATGGCATACTATGCTTACTATTATTGTTGAGGCCCCTGTCATCCTGCCTTTCTTCAGAGGGATCTTTTCATAGGGATGATGATGTGGATGCCAATGTTGAGGACTACATTTGTATGAACTGCAAGCTCAAAGACCCTATGCCGCAAGCCCGACATGCCATAAGGCTATTTGGAGGATCAGGGGACTTGGTAAGTACGGTTATATGTACCTTACTTGGGGTTATACATCATAACAGTATAGTTACCTCATCTTTAACCCTAGTTACAAAGTCCATTATCCCCTAAGTAGGCTCTAGAACCCGCAAGACGCTAGAGGCCATGGCACCTTTCGTCTACCCTATAAAGGTCCGTAGACCCTGTATGTGAGGGTATTTTGAAACCGCTGTAAAGCCGAAGCCTGAACCCTACACTAGCAGCCATAAAATTCGGCAGCCAAGCCTACTCCTCGTGGAAACTGTACGCTAAACTAAACTCCAAAACCCCCAAACCCACGCCAAAGCCCTAAACACTAACCCAAATACCGTAAACCCCTAGAAAAACCCGAGACCATAGACACCCCCCCCCAAAAAAAAAAAACAGAACACCGGTAAACTTCAGCGGAACCCAAGCAGTAGCTGAGGCTTCCCTGCAGTGCTCAGCTGCCCTCGAAGGACTGGTGTGCAACAGGCCGCCAGGGTTACTCAGTAGTAGGGTATGAAACCTCTTGTTTCTGTGTGTGTGTGTGTGTGGTACTTTCATCCCTTTATGGGTAGTTGTCGAAAGTGAAGTCAGGGTCCCTCTGTTTAGCCAAGATAGTACGGCACCCTGAATCCTAGTTTTAGAGTACTACCTATGAACCCCAAACCCAAACCCCAAACCCTCATCATATAGCACTTAGAGGAACTCTTGACCCTACATCCTCCAAGGGTTTAGGCTACGGCTTATGATTGAAATCCTGCATTACCCATGATAAGGAATATACCCGAATTCCCATAGCTTAGGGTCCTTAAGGTAATGCAGGGTTTTTATCAGCAACAGTAGTTATAAGATCCTTATCCCTAGACCCTAAGCCCTAAACCCCCTAAACCCCTAAACCCTAAACCCTAAACTTCTTTGGTGCCCAAGGCAAGGAGCTCTACAGGCGGCTTTGCTGCTGGGACGCAAGAAGAGCCAGGTTGCTTGTTTTTAGAGGGGTTTA